AAGTCAGAACCATGTTTACATTTTCATTTTCCCAGAGTAAATATCATATTAAATGAAAGTATAGGTGGAGATGGATTCATTGACATTATGTGTGTCACCAAAGCAACCAGCTTTTGTGGGATTACCGGGAATGTGTTGCAACAGGTTTTCGATCTTGCTGTGGACAATGGTATTAGTCCATTTGAATTTTGATACTGCTGATTCTTATGGGACTGGCGGGAGCTCAATGGGCATGGTGAAAAACCTCCTGGAAGCTCTTCCTTGTTGATTCAGTTACGTTGGTTTAATCTGTCATTATCATTTACAATTTTGCTGATTTGTTTATTACCTTCATTTTATTTAAGCTTAATCTATAATATTGAGGTACATGGCAGAAGGGGCAGGAAGACGAAATGCATACTGCCACGGATAGAGCTACTTGAGTATTGTGATAGTCTCTTTTTTTTTTTTTTTCATTTTTCCTATAACACAAGCTCCCTCAAAATTGTCTTGTCCCCGTCATTTTCTTCTTTTAAGAGAAATAATTTTTTTTTGAACAAATTTACAATGAGTCGGAATCAACCATTACTATGGAGAGGAGGAATGCACTTATATGTGACCTGACGTCACTGAGTTGTAGGCCCGAGTGCAAGAGAAATAAATATTTATTCCCTACTCGACCTTAATTACTTATCCCATTACCAAAAAATTAAAAAACGACTATTCTGGTAGAACAATTTTCAGAGCTAGTAGCATACATAACTCTAAAGCTACAAGAAATTTCAGCTGGAACAATTTTAATGGCTAAGCGTGGTAAAAGAGCAGATTGAGACAAAAAATTTATGATTGACTCCGCATCCACTCCTTTTCTCAGTCCTCTTGGAAAGGAGAAAGTTTGCTGCATCCCTGGGATACAACAAACGTTGTATCCTAAGCCAATTCAAACACCACATCAGCCTTCTTTTCTCTTTTTTTTTTTTTTGTGATTGATGAAGTGTTTTTTTTTTTTCGTGATTGATGAAGTGTGAAAAATGCTGATGTAGTGTTTTTGGATTGGCATGGGATGCCACGTCTGCTGTATCCTAGAGATATAGCAGACTTTCTCCTTGGAAAGAGGAATGGATTCATTCGTCATGGTACTCTTAATCCTAATGGGTTGAAAAGCATATCAAAAGACTGCACAATTTCATGACTGGAAATCTGTTAGTGACCCATAAAATCTGTAACTGCAAAAGAGCAAGAAGCACAGCATATGACGAGAAGTAGGGGTGCGAGAAAGGTCATCTCAAAAATGGAAACAATAATGGAAAGGAAAACAAACCATAATGTCAAAATCACTTGTCAAAGCAAGCAAAATAAGATTACACTACAAACAATCCCAAAGCTCAGAAAGAAAGTTAACAATGACTTCAGAGTATTATAAATGTCTCATATTAAATGTCTCATAGTTGAATTGAAAGTCTTAATGCTATATCATCCAAGCAAAACATAGAGGACCCTAACATTAGTTGCAGGATTCCAACCTTGTGATAAACACTCTACTTGATCTTCTTCTTTGGCCTCAGCTGCCAATATATAGAATTCCAAGGGTCAATTAAAGTTGCAATAGTGAAGAATAATAGGATAGGATAAGTAAAATCTTAAAGGGGTCTCAGGTGTAGCGTATTTGGGAAACCACAATACCAAAAAGATCTTATTTACCTGGTTGCTGTGTCCACACTTCTTCTTCCTGCAGTTCACAGCACGAGGATGCAAGCGTGCATAACACCTGATGCAATGCGAATTTTCAACAGTGAGAAATATGGTATCAAGTAAAAAATACATTATTCAGGACACCATGTAGCACAAGAAATAACATAACAAAGATATTTTCTTGTCATATTGAACAATACGAAACTCAAATGCTAACTGCTGTTATGACATTTAAACGCAACAGTTCCAGAATCCAGAAACTAGCTAACACAAGATCAAAAGTTAAATTAAAGCATAGATATCGCAAAGTATGCTGTAATGGAATCATCAGCAATACTCAAACATTCTCTTCAAAGAATGAAATTAAAAATAAGGAAAAGTCTTCAAAAAGTATTCACAAAATACTGAGAAGATAAACAACATACTTGCGACAGATCATTTTGTCCTGGTTGTATTTCCTAGCCAATGCCATTAGAGAAGGCTCAATGATGCCACCACGAAGCCTCAGAACCAGATGAAGAGTCGATTCTGCACATGTTTATATACATTTAAACGAAACAACAAGAAAGATTGATAATAAAACTCTATCAAACACACGCCAGCATGGAAGACTAACAAAACAAATGAAACTGAACTGAAAAACACAGATATGTCTCTAACATTAATAAAGGCCTAGAGCATCCATTTCAACATTGAGTTTGTAATGGAGACCTTATTTTCCTCAGTTTCCTTAAAAGCAGAACCTAATCTTCTCCAATTGCCACAATTATAATAGTTCCAAATTACAAATCGAAGTATCAGATAGCAAACATGTCACCTCCTACCTATGATTCCCGAAAATTAAATAGAGTCGTCGAATACAGTGCAGATATATACCTTTCTGAATATTGTAGTCGGCAAGAGTACGGCCATCCTCGAGCTGCTTTCCGGCGAAGATCAGTCTCTGCTGGTCCGGTGGAATACCTGTCGGATTTACACCAGAAAAACATCAGTCGTCAAATACTCACAATCGAACACTAAAAGAAGAGAAAACCTAAAAAGAAATCACGAGAAACATGTACCTTCCTTGTCCTGGATCTTGGCCTTGACATTGTCGATGGTATCGCTCGATTCAACCTCGAGGGTTATGGTTTTCCCTGTTAGGGTTTTCACGAAGATCTGCATCCTTGCAATCACTGATTTCCACCGTCTCTCTGTCTCTCTCTGAAAATAAGGCTCTTGCGCCGGCGCGGTGTCAGTCTGTTATATATATGGGGTCTAGGCATTAGGGTTCCTATTGGAGTTAAGCTGATGTTTGGTTACACGGTGATTGAGATCCTTTTGCTGAGAGGTGTTGTTTGTTTATGTGGCAAAAAATATCCGTAACAAGGATATGGAAAGTGGCAGCTATGCAGGTATTTTTCAATTTTTTATTTATTTTCTATATTAATCTCTTAGTATCCAGTAATCATATTAAATTTCGATTGATTTAAAATTAAATTGCATCAAACCTTATAAGGGGAAAATTCTTTCAACACCTGTTTCTTCATTTATAAAACTCGAATCCAAGATATTATTTAAAATAAACCGAATTCTTCTCACTTAAATCAATAAGTTGTTAATACTATAATACTATGTAGATTTATTATTTGAACTATAAAATAAAACTTTTTAAATTAGAAAGGCTTTTCAATATTAAAAAACTCATTATTTATTTAAAATTTATATTTTATAATTTAATATAGTTTAAATTACAAATATTTTCTTAATACCATAACAGATCAATCCTAAATGTTAAATCATTCATACACAAATAATTTTTTATGAATCAAATTTACTATTCAAATTTTAAGATGAATATCTAAAAAAATTAATCTCCTACACCAATCCCATACCATATCGATCCGTCCCTACTAACCAATCATAAATTGATACTTACTGGTTATTATACTTCTTTTGTTTACTTTTATTAGATTTAATTTGATTTTTAAATTTTTTAAACATAAATGTTAATTGAAAATTTAATAACTTATGAACAATGATTAAAAAAAATTCATATATAAAATTTTTATTAAGTATTTTTATTTAATAAAAAAATTTCAATTATTATTTGTATAATATGTTAAATTTTTTTATATATATAAAATTTATGTCTAAAAAATTAAGAAGTCATATTAAGTATACTAAAAATAAACAAAAGGAATAATTTTTAATAAAATAATTACAATGCTACAATTGATTTTATTTAGGAGTACACATATAATATCATATGTATTTATTTAATGATATGTAATATCTTAAAATAAGTAGTTTCCAAACACTGTTGATTTTAGTTGAAATTTCTATCATAATAGATTTCTATTTATGTGTTGACAAGTCTTTAACTACATTAAGCCTAAAAATCATTTCACTAGTTCATAGAGAACATTCTTAAGCTCAAAATGTAACTAGCTAACATATAATCATAAATTCCAAAATGGATTTTATATGCATACAATCCATAGCTTAGCTTGATTTAGATCCAGCAGTCTTAGAGCTTAATTACACATAACAACATATTTACATTACCAACAAAAGGTATAGTTCTCTTTTTCAAGTAGAGAACTAAGTTTTGTACACAAAAGAACTTTTAGATAACCAACTTGTTTACGACTAACTATGAGCCATGACAAGGTTTTGGTCAAAGAACAAGTTTGTATTACCAACTCAGCTGCCAAGTTGTGTCTTTGGCTGGTTAAAGTACTCCTGGGCTTCCCAAGTATTTATAAGCTACTATATAATATACTAACCTGTAACAACAAGGAAAAACAATATTTTCATGAACTATAAGATTCAATAAGTAACAAATAGCTTAAAAAAGTATAAATATTCAAATTAATCAAACCAAAAATTGTTCTCATTAGTATTTAATGTAGTTCCCTACAAATTCGATGATAAAATTGTACTAGAAGCCTGTCCTATCTTCCAGACATTAGGACAAATTATGTTTTATTAATAGAAACACATTTAAAGTTAGCAATTTTATACTTGTCTAAATGTTTTCAAAAGAATGCAAATTACTTCAATGGATTTCCTATGGGGGTACGTCCCCCTTACAAGTGGCCTAGCCATAATTTCCTTGATTCCCAAAGGATCTAGTATCTTTGCACTCCTAGTGTAATTGAGTTTCCTACTCCTAGTCCAATTGGGTTTTATATTCCCAATCCAACTGGGTTTCACATTCCCAGTCCAATTGGATTCTATCTAGCTTAGATGCTTAGGTATTTTACCATAATTCCTTATACACAAGGAACTTGATACTTCTAGTTAATTCATATATTACATGAATATTATTTTAACTCACACACAATCAGCAATCTACATTGTCATGTGGAAAACTACAACTAGCACATCTTTATAATGCATTATGCAAATAATTAATTCACCAAAAAAATCCCCCAAGTGTAAGGGTATAAATACACAACGCAGAGCTCACTGCTCTGTCGCACCTCAGTTCTCTACTACAAGTGCACAACACACAAGGCAAAGCTCAGTGCTCTACCGCACCTCAGTTCTTTACCACAAGTGCACGACAATTACAATGAGAACATCCTTGCCCGATTATTTGTCCTTACCTGATCCTCAACCTGCTTCGCCAAAACATGTCACGCGCATTTAATGTGATTGCTCCATTAAGGCATGTTATGTTCACCTAAGACGTCTGCTTTGTCAGGCACATCATATCATGATTATCATGTTAAGTAGGCTACGTGGGTACAGGTAGGCCACGTGAATACCTTGCCAAGATGTACAAAACCCATGAGGAAAGGTACGTTATATACATGGGATAATCATAAAGAGAACACGTACACTCCAGAAATATACTAACTTAAGCATCAGAGTTTCTCCCTAAGGACCAACCTCAAGATTTTGCAGGTCTACCCAAAGAAAAGATACACAAAAGGAAGATCTTAGAGGTTTTTTGCAACAACGCCAAAGACACAATAAATGTAGAAGCTACCAAGATCATCTCAAAGGTAAATTAACAATAAGTGTCCACCTCCTTTTTGCATGTTTCCAAATTCTTATATAGGGGTAAAGTTTGAAAATCTATACTTAAATTTCTTTTTAAACCTCAGAGAATTTAATCTAACTTAAATTTGTTAAGTTTAAAAGTTACTACCTCAGGATAAATGAGATTGGACCCAAAACTCCTCCAAAACTCTCAGTTTTGTTGCTGCCTCTGCTGCAAGGCGAACCCTCCTTTTCTATTTCTGTTTTGCTCGTATGGTGCTAGTATAGAAGAGGAAAATGGAATTCATTTTGATCATACCTTTCTAAAAGCACAATAATTCTGACCAAAGTTGGTGGAATTTCCATGCATTCCACTTTCAATCCATACTGCACTGCTCTCACTGTGCACTCACATGCCAAGTGTACGTTTGCATGTCATTATTCTACCAAGTAAACATTGTTATGAAAACAGTCCCTAAACTTTTTCTAACAGTACAAGACCTCAACTATTAAGTTTTTAACATTTAAGGACTAAACTTCTACTATTGCTACATTTAAGAATGAAGATGTACCTTGATACATTATACTTATTTAATAATATATCATAATTATAAATTTATAATGTTTTATGATATTATAATTATAACATTATCAAAATTGCTACATTTAAGAATGAAGATGTACCTTGATATATTATA